TCTCAGACCCCAATGCTGGCAAAATTCTAGATAGTTACAACTTTAGCCACACTGAATATTACTTTTAATTAAAATAATTTATGGCAAACACTGTAATCTTTTTAACATCTATTCATACTTCATTTCTTCTTGAAGAGCTTGGGGTGTTGGGAATCCAACCCAGATCAGCATTATGCAAAACAAATGCTCTACAGGCTGTACTATCACTCAAGTCCCCTTTATTTCTTCTTAATCAAATCCTGAATATTTTGCTTCAACTCTCAGGGAAAGCTAGACACTAATTTTTTATTCTGCTTTAAAATTCAGATCAACTTTCAGATAATAATATCTAAGATAATATCTTTATAAGTGTTCCAGAAAAGATTTTTGTTTTGTGGGTAAGCATCTATCTTCTCAGAGGAAAAGTTTTATCATTATGTATTTCTGGTTGGGATATGCTTACAGTTTTTGTTTTGTTAGGTGGCCTAACCTGGTGGTATTTAGATCTTACTACTGGCTCTGTAGTCAGGGATCCCTCTTGGCAGTGCTTGAGGGACAACATGGGGTGCCACAGATCAAAAAGGAGGAGAATAACCCTACAATGCTCAAGGGCTACTCCCTGTATCTGAACTCTGGGGTAGCTCTGGTGATGCCTCAGGGAACTAGTAGTTCTTGGGATGAGACTTGAACGTCCCACATGCAGAGAATATGCAAAGCAAGCTTTGATATGCTCAGCTCTCTGACCCTGCTCTTTCTTTTCTTCTCTCTGTCTCTGTCTATACCTCTGTCTCTCTGTCTCTGTTTCTGGGCCACTCCTGTCACTGCTCACGGCATACTCCTGGATCTACATTCAGCTATCACTCCTGGAGGTGCTTAGGGAACTATATGGGGTGCCGAGTATCTAACCCAGGCTGGCTGAGTGCAAGGGAAGCTCTCTACACACTGTACTATCGCTCCAACCCAAGGCCCTGTTCATTTATTGCCTGTGGCTACTCATTGTTCTAGAATTTTTTTTTAAAAAAAGACTATCAGTTTGGGTCTCTGCTTGACAGTGTTCTGAATCTATTTTTTTAGTTCAATACTTAGGGGGTCACTCCTAGCAGTGTCAGAGAGGCCAAGTAGTACTGAGGATCAAATTTAGGTCTCCTGTATGCAAAGCATGTGTTCAAACCCATTGAACTATCTCTGTGGTCTGAAAGACTAAGTCATCATTGCAATTATATCGGCATCTTTGTTGAAAACCAATTGATTATTAGCAGAAAATTTTAAATCTGGATGCTTAAATGTATTCCATTGATCTATATGCCAATTCTTGCTTCAGTACCCATCTGCCTTGATTATCATGACTTTATATTTTATTCAAATGGTAACATCCAGGTAAAGGCCCCCCAGTTGATCGTCGATTTGCTCGAGCGGGCCCAGTAATGTCTCCATTGGAGACTTTGTTGTTACTGTGTCTGGCATATCGAATACTTTCGGTAGCTTGCCGGGCTCTCCGAGAGGGGCGGAGGGTTGGCCGCTTGTAAGGCGAACGCCCTACCCGCTGTGCTATCGCTCCAGCCCCCAATTTATTTCAGTCTCAAATTCTCACGTTTAGTTATATGCAACTGAGGAAACTATGCTATATTGTTATTTCTACATTTTGGTAGTTTCTGTCTTCTCTGTTTGAAAAGATTTTGGAGAGTCCATGTATTAAACATTCTTCCACTTTATTTTATTCAGCTAGAACTCTTCAAATATTTTCTATTTTCAGACTTGTTCCTTGTAATACTCATATTGGTAAGTTGTGAAATTATAAACAAAGTAAACAAAGCAGTTAGTCCCACTAATATCTTCGTTATCTTGGGAATAATTTTTATACAAGTGATTTCCCCAAACTAAAAGGGACAAAATAAAAAAAGAAAGTTAATTGTCAAAAAATATCACTCAGATAACCAAGATTAATAGGCGAGAATGAGGCAAAATATTAGTTATTGTAATTTTCTTTGTTGTTTGTATTATTACGGAGGGAGGGAGGGAAACACATTCAGAAGGGTTGGAGTCTACTCCTAGTTCCATGATGGGGGGTTTAGACTTCTGCAACAGTGATGCTGGGATAGGATCTGGGTCTCTGCATGCAAAGAATGTGCTCAGCACTTTGAGTTATCTCTCCAGCTTCAGTAACCGTAAGTTTGTAATCAAAGTTTGAACCAGTTTAAAAATGTATATTTCCTTTTCTTATCTTTTTTTTTCAACACGACAGATGGACAACTTGAACTGTTGGATGCTAAGTTTAAATATATTTCTGAGGCTGTCACTCTTCTTCAACGTGATTTCACAATCACAAGAAATAGCCCATGAGGAGTAGCTAAAGGATAACAACTCCAAAGAAATCAATAGGTCTTAGCACCTTAAGTATCTTCTTTCAGGTTAAATTGTGTTGTAATGTTCCCCCAAATGGTTGCCATGGTAACCTTTATAATTTGCCTTTGGAGAATCACATGATTTTTTTTCATACTGTTCCTCTGGTGAATTTATTTTTCCTATAGAACTTAAAGAATAGAGGGAAGTTGGGGCTAAATGCTATGATTTTGTATTCTTGGTGGTTCCAAGTGAGACTAAAAGAAATTATCTTCTGCCATGTCGAGTGTGATTTTTGGAAAAGGAGACGATGGCCCTTATATTTGAACAGCTGCAGGCTATTAAAATCAAACAGAATGCAATCAAAATAAATTCTGACATCAGAATGTAACAACTCCTTTAAGTTCTTCCTTGGTTGTGCCTACTCATACACAACTACTGGGAAAACAACCGTGAGCTACGTTAATCAAAATGATGGTTAATTTAAGACTATTTCTGAGTAATTGATTGCATTCTACGGAGTCAAACTGACTTGCATACATTTGCCTAGACTTTGATAATATTGAGTAGAAAACAGGATTCAGACCAAATAGATACTTCTGTAAAAATATATCTTTTTTTATCCCTCCATCTCTCTTTAAAATATTTGTATTGCTGAGGTCAAAGAAATAGTACAGGAGTTAAGGCATTAGGTTTACCTTGCATTAGGTTTACCCAGTTCAACTCCCGAATACATCCAGGCATGATTCCTGAGCACGGAACCAGGAACAAAACTACAGCACCACTGGGTGTGAAACTCAGCCCAGACACAAGCAATAGCAACAAAATAAAAAACCTTTGTATTGTTATATTTTTGCTCCTCCAAATTTTTATGTTTGAATTTAGTTACTTCTAGTGAGTTTTGTTTGTTTTGATTTTGGGGTCACACCCAGCTGTGCTCAGGGCTTAGTCCTAACTCTGTGCTCAGGGATCACTCCCGGCAGGAATCAGAGGATTATGTTGTGGTGCAAGAGGTCAAGCCTGGGGTCAGCTGTGTAAGGAAAGTGCCTTCTCCTCTGTGCAATCTCTCAGGCCCTCTCCAGGGAGTTAAAAGCAAACCTTTTAATGTTCCATACCCATATGTGAAGAACAAGCATAAGGCAAAGTGTTCCTAGGTAAAATATATACATGGTGGGAACACAGATGGAAAATATCAAAACATCAGAAGATAGTCAGGTAATTTAATAACTTAGTGACATGTGGAATCTCTATTGTCAATTAAAATTGTTTAAAAAATCTCTGCTCAGCCATGATTATATTAAAGTGGAGATGAAGGGGGAAAGTTAAAGACAATTGATCATTTTATATTATTTTTTTCTTGTTTTTTTGGGGGATGGCATGCCATCTGTTTTCAGGACTTTCTCCTGACTCTGTACTCTGGAATCCTTCTTGAAGGGACTTGGAGGACGGTATGTAGTGTTAGGGATGGAACCAGAGTTGTTGAATGCAAAGCAAGAACTCTATCTACTATATTATCTCTTCAGCCCCATTTTATTTTTATTTATTTATTACTTGGGGACACGCTCAGCAGTGCTCAGGGCTAGTCTGGCTCTGTGTTTAGGATTCATTCCTGGCAAGGCTGCAGGGACTATATGTCATGCCGGGAATTGAAGTGGGATTGGCTTCATGCAATGCAAGTGCTTTGATTCCTGTCCTAACTCAGGCCCCATTTTATTATTTATTATTTTTATTTTTTTAATGCATCCCAAGAAACTTTAAAATAAAATTAAAAAGGGGGATGGGGACATTAACTTTAGTAAAACACTTCCTTCTTGATATTAGGTCAGGCTCCTGGAGAGCAGAGCCCCAGATGAGGGCTTTCAAGAGAAAGCAGCGCGAAAGGCAGGTCCAGAGAGGTGAGAGAGAGGAAAAGACAGCCGTGGCCTCATTGCAGCCCGTTCTAGTCCACACAAACTCCAGCTCTTTGCTCCCCTGCGTGCTTGAGGGTGGCTGCAGAGGTCCCGGGGTGCAGGTCTGGGACCCTCGACAGTCCAACGAGGGGAGATCTAGGGAGAAAGCAGCTGTCCAAAGTGAGCAGCAGACCCAGCATCTGGGTTTTGGGACAATCACGGGGGTCTGAGGGGTGCCAGCAGCATCTGAGTTTTCTCTGAGGACACCCATAAGGGGGCAGATAGAAGAAAGTGGGACTGACTCCCCCGGGGGCTGACGCTCTCTCTTCTCCGCTCCTCACCCCCTTACCCAAAGGAGCATCACAAAGTGTCATAGCTGGACTTGCATCCACCTGACTGGACTTGGAAAATTAACTCCACCCTATGCCCTGACACAGCAGGGCTATGGGGCTATGTGTGTTCTCAGGAGTGACAGTATAGTGGGGAGGGCGTCCACCTTGCATATGGCCAAGCTGGGTTCCATCCTAGGCATCCCATGTGGTCCCCCAGCAATGTCCGGAGTCTTTCCTGAGTGCAGAGTCAGTAGTAACCCCTGAGCACAGCCAGGGGTGGCCCCAAAACAACAAAAAAGTATTCTCTGTGTTTCCCATGTAACTCTGCCTGAGGAAGGGTCCTGTCTCCAACAGCAGCCTGGGGGTACCTGCCCTCCACCACAGGACAAACCACACCATATACTCTCACTACTGCCTAATGCCTACCAGCCTCTCTCCCCACTCTCTCCCCAGAGTCCAGTCAGGTGGTGGTGGCACCAAGTAACAGCCTGAGGCCTCCTTTGTCCTCGGCCAGACCATATAAGCTGCTCTGGGAAGGTTTTTCTCTGCTGCTGCTGTTAGAACCAAGAGGCAGTTACAAACTGGGGTCAATTATAGAATCAGAGAACCTTGGTCTGAAAGTCAACTCTTTTTCTTTCTTCTTCTTCTTCTTCTTCTTCTTCTTCTTCTTCTTCTTCTTCTTCTTCTTCTTCTTCTTCTTCTTCTTCTTCCTCCTCCTCCTTCTCCTCCTCCTCCTTCTTCTCCTTCTCCTTCTCCTTCTCCTTCTCCTTCTCCTTCTGACACTTTGGCTTTGGTTATCTTTGGAGGCCCTATATGGCAGAGGGACCATATGGTCTTGGATCTTGGGGCTCCCTCATGCAGAGAAGGTGCACTAACTCTGGCCCCTTTCAACGGTATGACCCTGGTTTTACCTTGGTCTCCCTTTTGAGTCTCTTCTATGTCTGTAAATTGGGTCTATGACAGAGAGTCTGCCCACTGAGTGTAAGAGTGAAGTTCACAGCTTACTCACTGAACAGCGTAACTTGTGCACAAAGCAAGTATGTGGTTAAGGATCAGCGGAAGTGGCATCCTACCACTAAGACATCTTTTAGCTGGGGGACTGTCTGCTGGGCTCTGTTTTGCTGATGAAGAAACTGAGGCACAGTGTGAGGCCACTTACCGGAAGGGAAGAAGAGAAACAGATCAAACAGTGGCCAGCCTGGCTCTGGAGTTCCCCAGTCTCAATCCTGAGGCTGGTCTGGAGCACAGAATAACATCAGGCATGTTGGAGTGAGGAACACTGGCCCACTGCCAGCCCATGGTGTCACGGGCTTTATGGTGTCTGTGTTGGCTGGGGCCAAAGGTGTAGGGAGGGGCCTAATGGAGTACAGGGCATTGCAGCTCCAGCACCAGCCCGGGCACCATCTTGGTTGTCCACACAACTTCCTGGACAGCCCCATCCCCCCCAGTGAGTGACCTAAACTCACAGGTTCAGGGCTGTGCCCCCGCCTCCCAGGCCTGCAGAAAAGACTTTATGAAGCCTGGCGCCCTGCACCCCACTTACCGGAGTTGGCCAAAGCCAGGACCTTGAGCATCATAAACGCCTCCTTCTCCACCTTGAGCTTCTCGTACCTGCGCACCAGCTGCAGGATGGTGCAGTAGAGCTCCAGCAGCCCCTCCAGGTGGGAGTACTCCTCATCCATGATGTACTTCTCCACATACACCAGCTTGTAGTCGTAGGGCAGTGAAAGGTATACGATGCCCAGAATGAGAATCTCTATCCAGGCACTCTGCAGCAGGCTCATCTGGTCTCCCAGCGAGAGGTTGGAGCAGCCAGGAATGTGCTTGGCCCAGCCAATGATGACCACCAGCTCCCGATCGGCCAGATCACACAGCGTGGTCAGGGCTTTGGTGTCGCCCTCGGGTATGTGGGGGTGAGGCATGGCGTACAGCTTGTCGGGATCAGCCACCATCAGGTACGACACGATCTTGGTCAGTGGCTTCTTAGTGGGCGGCGAGATCTGCAGGCTCAGGTATGGGCTGTTCTCTGAGTCCAGCCAGCGCTTGTACTTCTGGTGGCCACCGTGCACGCGGTCCAGACGCACTCCTGCGAGGAAGAGAAGGGAGAACTGCTCAGGCACGGCAGATGCCTCTGACCCCGGCATCTTAGCGTTCTCCCGACAACAGCCAGGCGCCTATCGTATCTGTCCTTTATTATATTTTTAATTCGCAATTTAAAATCTTGCCAAGCATGAGGGGTAGCCAATCAGATAGATAATGGAAATGGCTAAAGAGTGGGAATAAGAAGACTTAAAAGAACTTAAAAGATTTAAAAGAACTGAGAGCTGAAAGGAGGTAAAGTGATATACATGACAATCTTTCAAATTTCCCAAAAGGAAAGAGACAGCAAGAGAGAGATAGAGATAGAGAGAGAGAGAGAGAAGAAAATTGTCTGCCATAGAAGCAGACTGGGGTGGGACACGGGAGGTGGCAGGAGGGAAACTGGGGGCATTGATGGTGGGAAATGTGAAGGTACAGGTGTTGGATGACTGAAATGGACGTTATATGACTGAAACCCAATCATGAAAAAATTTGTAACTGTGCATCTCATAGGAATTTCATTAAAAGTTTTTAAAATAAAAAAAAAAAAACAGAAAGAAGACTTAAAAGTTGTCAAAGGCAGGGAATTTTCCCTTTGGTCCCTTCCCTTTATCCAGATAGACAGCAGCAAAGCAGCAGTTCTCACCCACAAGGCCTGAGATCCAAGGAAAGGCAAAGGCACAAAGAGCAGAAAGGTGCACAGGCCTCATAGCCCCAGTCACAGTTACATAGTGTTAGGGAGAGAGCAGCAGGATAGCAGTGGACCTCAAGGCACAACATCAGCAAGAGATGAGCTGACTAGGACAACATATACAGGAACCAGCAGGAAACTAGCTGTTAAATATTTACTACAACTTCATAAGCATCTGGAGTTTTGCGTGCTAATTTACAAAGACCTACATAGAAGCTAAATGCACCTCACAGTAACAATGAGAAGCAAAAAAAATCTACTTTATTTTCCAGTTAAGTAATGCATATTTCCATTTTGATATGATCTGTTTAAGAGGACTTGTGGGGATCATTTTCACTTTTATTTCTAATAAACATTTTTGAAAGCATGACCATATTGTATTTAGAGTCTTTATTTTTATACTAAAATCTTGCTTTCAGATCATTGTTCAGAACAAAGGAGAAATTATTTTAAAAAAGAAATATCATCTGACAGGGGGTTGATATCCAGGATATACAAAATACTGGTTAAACTCCACAAGAAGAAAACATCCAACCCCACCCATAAATGGGGCAATGAAATGAACAGAAACTTTCTCAAAGAAGAAATCAGAATGGCAAAAAAGCACATGAGAAAATGCTCTACATCATTAATCATCAGGGAGATGCAGATCAAAACCACAATGAGATACCATATCACACCTCAGAGACTGACCCACATTCAAAAGAACAAAAGCAACCGATGCTGGCGCAGATGTGGCAAGAAAGGGACACTCCTTCACTGTTGGTGGGAATGTCTACTGGTTCAGCCCTTCTGGAAAACAGTATGGACGATTCTCAAAAAATTAGAAATTGAGCTCCCATTTGACCCAGCAATACCACTCCTGGGAATATATCCCAGAGAGGCAAAAATGGTATAGTCGAAGTGACATCTGCACTTGTTTGTTCATTGCAGCACTCTTTACAATAGCCAGAAACTGGAAGAAACCTGAATGCCCAAGAACAGATGACTGGTTAAAGAAACTTTGGTACATATACACAATGGAGTACTATGTAGCTGTTAGAAAAGATGAAGTCATGAAATTTACATACAAGTGGTACAACATGGAAAGTATCATGCTAAGCGAAATGAGTCAGAAAGAGAGGGATAGACATAGAAAGATTGCATTCATCTGGGGGATATAAAGTAACAAAATATGAGATTAATACCCAAGAATAGCTGAGATCAGCACCAGGAGGATTACTCCATAGCTTAGTGGCCAGTCGGGCATTCTAGAGGAAAGGGCAGCTCAGATAGAGAAGGGAACACCAAATAAAGGGTGTTTGGAGGATCCTCCCAGGAGGGGAGATGCATGTCGAATGTAGACTATGGACTGAACATGTTTGCCACTCAATGCCTCTTTTGCAGACCACAACACCCAAAAGGAGAGAGAGAACACAGGGGATTGCCCTGCCACAGAGGCAGGGAGGGTTGGGGGGATGGGGGTGGGGAGGATATTATCCATGGTGGTGGAAAATGGGCACTGGTGGAGGGATGGGTATCTGATCATTGTATAATCAAACCCAAGCACAAAAAAGTGTAAATCTACAACTGTACCTCATGGTGTTTCACTAATTAAAAAAAAAGAAATATATTAAAATCTTTTTTTAAAATACTGGAACATTCTATTGCTATGAATTTGATTAATCTTATTTTATGTAGAAACAATGCAGGACCTTCCCTAACTCTTCACAATAATTTTATTTGTTCTCATTTATCTGTTTTATTATTTTATCCTGAAGCTGATATATGTAATTATCAAGATAAAGTTTTTTTAGTATTCTATTATACCTCACTTTATAAGTTTTCTATGCCTTTTGAAAGTTGGCTGCAAGTTTTATGTGTTCAAAATTTTAATAGAATAACGTTCATAATTCTAAAGTTTTCTATGTGTACAAGTTGTTTTGAATGTGCATCTCTTCATGATTGATTAGTTTTGAGGGGTACTGCTGTTTGGACCTCACCTGGAAATGCTGAGGACTGTGAGTAGTTCATGCTTAGGGGTCCATGTGGTGCCAGGGACTGAAGCAGCCTCAGTCACATGTGAAACAAATACCCAAACCCTTGAAAGATTTCTCTGGTTTCTCATGATTGATTCTCCTTACACCATATTCTATTGAAACAAAATACAACAACAACAACAAAAACAACAAAACACTGTTCTCCGGTTATTCATCGATTTGCTTGAGCGGACCCAGTAATGTCTCCATTTTGAGAATTCTTGTTACTGTGTTTGGCATATCGAATACATCACGGGTAGCTTGCCAGGCTTTGCCATGCGGGGGAGATACTCTTGGTAGCTGGTCGGGCTCTCCGAGAGGGATGGAGGACTCAAACCCGACTCAGTTGGGCTGGCTGTGCGCAAGGCAAATGCCCTACCATTGTGCTATTGCTCCAGGCCCCTGTTGAAACAACGTGCTTAATTTTATTTATTTTTTTATTATCATTTATTTTTTTGCTTTTTTGGGAGTCACACTCGGGGATGGACAGGGGTTACTCCTGGCTTTGCATTCAAGAATTACTCCTGGCGGTGATTGGGGGGACCATATGGGATGCTGGGAATCAAACTGGGATCGACTGTGTGCAAGGCAAAAGCCCTACCTGCTCCAGCCCCACTGGGCTTACTTTTAAACAGAAATTGAACATTGACATTGTTTTTATAGTTAAGTACTATATGGGTCTTTTATTCTATAATTCGAGACATGTAATAATATTCCCTTTAAAATAACATTTCCTCTATGACCTTGATAGGAGCAAGGGTTAAAATGCCTATTAAGAGATAACAATACTCACTAAACAAATTTAGTTCAATAAAATTCTGAACTAATTAAGATTTTGAAAAATAAGAATAAATATTCCTACTTCTGGATTTTGTCTTCTATAGTGAGAATTCCCTATATTTGCTAAGAATGTGGGGCACAGCTTCAATTCTCCAAATAAGAAAACTGTTAATTTAATAAAATGCTTTGCAGCAAGATTTTTACTGTGCTGGGAAAAAACGCTTAGGAGAGAGCTCTGAAAATGCATATCTACAGTCAGTTTCTGAAAAGCAATGAAAATGTTATATTTTCAGAAGTGTTTTGCTTATTTATTATTTAGGATGTTTCAGCTGAAGTATCAATGTTTGATAATTCAGTGAGCTATAGTAAAGCTCATAAATTATTTCCCTCTTCTGATTTTAAATGTGTCTACATTTCCTTCCTCATCTTTTTTATCATCAAGAATATTAAGTTCCTGGTTTATATACAAGGTGGATAAAGAGAACTTATACCAATTGTTACTTAGAATACTTTAGTTATTTGCTAATTTGTTTCTTTCCCTTCCTTATTCTATTGTCACACCTCTCTTCTCAAAATTTTATGTACATCAAGCTCTGGATTTTAGAAGTTTATTTCTTACATTTTGATTAACATTGGAGAAAATTTAAGTTAAAAATTTACTTTTACCATATACGTTAGTAACTTTTCCATATGAAATTAAAAAGAAATTATCCATAGAGATAGGAAAGGTGAAAACTACAAGTATGAATACAACGTATAACATATAAATGTCAACAATTTAAATATTGACATTTTAAATGTTGTTGTCATCATGTTAGTATTCATTGGCCATATCATTGGCAATATTTTTGCAAAAGAAGAAACACATTATCAAACTCATGCCCTAAGAATCTCTTTATACTGTCATTAGCATTTTGCTAATTTCCAAGTGAACTTCTGGTTTATTACCAGCTAAAAATAATTCTGGTTCTTCCATTTATCAACTATGTGACTTCAATAAATTTCATAATCATTGTAACCTGTTTCTCAAATATATAATGGTGACAATCTTAAAGGTGATTAGGAAGGTCAAAACTCACTGACAATTAACTAACAAAATCATATTAAAAACAATTGAGGAAAAATTTAAATGGAAAATAGTTCAGCAGAATTAATCAAGGACTGGCATGGAAAAATTAAAAAAGAAGATGGACAAGAGAATTTAAATATCATACAAGGAATTTTTGTTTTTAGGTTACAGTCAGTGGTGCTCAGTTTTTACTACCAGCTTTGTACTTGAGGGTTACTCCCTGTGGTGCTCAGATGACCATGTGGTGCCAAGGATCAAACTTGGGCCTCCCACATGCAAGTCATGTGCTTAGTCAGCTGAACAATCTCTCCAGTAGTAGAGCACATATCTTGCATGTGTGAAGTCCTGAGTTCAATCCCCCAAATCACATTGCTTCCTAAACATTGCCTGAAATGTTCCTGGTAACCCCCAAGTACCACTTGAAGTGGTCTTGATCCTTATAACTACTGGGGAGAAAAAAGGAAATACATTCAAACAAAATGAATCTTACTGAAATGAGAGAAGATG